TTGTGCTTCTGGGGAAGGGAGATACGAGCATTATCATCTTCCACCTGCAGTGAAAGATGCGTGGAGACTGCATCTCCCTATGTAATTTTAAACTTTATTGCATGACACACAGAAATAAAGTATATCGATTTTCCTTTTTGAGATGGATAAGTTTTAATTGAGGTGCTAAAAGCATTATAATAAAAAGAAATGTTAAACCAGCAGATTTTGATTTTAATTAAACTAAAATTTCCTAATCCAGTAGTTTGGGTTGAAAACTGTTACAGAATAATTACCCTGCATTTTTAATAGTTGTGTCTTTGGCTGCTAGAAGGGAACAGTCATAAAGAAATGAGATAAATAAACTTTAGATGGAGCAAGTTTACAAATAAGTGAGGTACCATCAATCTCTGAGCTAATACAAGACAGAAAATGTAAGCATAAACATAAATACTTCAAAGGATGCTGCATTATGTGGCCATGAATAATGCCGTTTGAGTCTCTCGCTCACCTCAAAAAGTTTGTTGCATTCCATTATCATGTGAGCAAGTCCCTGAGTAGCTGCCAGGTTTTCACTGAGGTCCTTCTGATCTGGCTTCCCCGTTGCATATTTTTTCTGTATTACTCTGTAAGTGAATTCAGTGTCTCAGGTAAAAAGAGCTGAATCTTTTTACTATGAAAGCAAACAGCAGCAGGATGTTCAGAACACCAGAGAGAAAAGCCTATCTTCAGTTTTTATTTATCACAAAGACTGCTCAGGCTGTTGGGCCTTTTCTAAAGGAAAAATATTTACCTAAAATACTGTTGAGCCAAAGGTAAAAGCAGGAAAGTTTATGCGTGTCCTGCATTAGGTGTTCTACATTTTGGAATGGACTTCTAACAGACCTGATGTACAGTGTTTTATGTCATTACTGCTTAAAGCGCTTGCTCAGATGCTGGTTATACACATACACAATCATGAATCTCAGTGTATTCTGAATCGGATGGGGGGAAAAAAAAGTCGGAAGTGACATCAAGTTGGGATCGCTAATGTTTAGCAGGGTCTATGCCCTGTTTAGTCTATGTTAACTCACCATGTTACACACCATCTTAATGTGGCCTGAAATAAACTCAGTTTCCCAAGTGGCAGAACGTAGCCAGAAAATACAGAGTGAAAAACCACTCACTGAAATTCTACGTACTAAAATCCTTTAAAACATGGTCAATCTTTGACTTCAACCAGAGCAAAATCAGGCCCTTTCCCTTCGCAGAAGCCAACATTACTTGTGCAAAACTCACTAGTGCCCCATTGAAATGTCGCATGGAAAGCGGGTGCTGCATATTCACAGCAGAGAGCCAGAAATGCCCGCTGAGCTTGTGGAAACGCCTTCTGCGCATGTGCAAGCGTGCTTCTGGCTCTGCAGCATGGGCTTTCCCCTCTCACTGAAGCCATGCCCTAGGTAATGTGTGCTGGAAAGCAGATGCTTTGGAAGACTGTACCCTGTATGCCTTTGGAAACACTGAAAACATCATTTTAGGATATGGCTATTTGTAGTGTTGAGAAGAAAATTACCTTGGTGAGCTCTCTTTCTTCACTATATTGAGATGGAAGAGGGAAGGGGCCAGACAAACAGCTATGTTCATAGGAGTCATCTGATTCTCCTCCACAGAGGTGACGTCGCTCAGGAAGCACAGCAGAGTCTGCAAAACCTCCCGGTTCTCATCGGACATCAGCATGATGGCTGCCTGCACCGCCTGCAGCCGCTGCTCCTTGGGGACGTCTGGGGAAAAGCAAGTGACCGTTCGGGGGGTCAGTTGTGAGATCAGATAAGGAGCCAGGAACAAGATAGAGTTAGCACAAGCATTCACACTCTGGGAATGGCTTTCTGAAGAGGTGGATGACGGGATGAAGGGGCAAAGACCAGCTGGTTGTTGGAAGGATGTGCTATTTGCTCCTCCATCAAGCACAGCTCGCCTCGCTATGGCATTTTTCTGCTCATTTGAAAGGCTCTTCCCCAAGAGAGAGACTGAACTTCATTTAAAGTTTATGCAAGGAGAGTAGTACTTGGTACTTGTACCTTTAAATGGTATTTTTCAGGTTTCTTTTGTCCCTGGGAAGACAGTTCCAAAGTCTTAGGGAAGCTTTGGGAAATTACACTTGTGTCCTAAACCATAAAAAGAGTTTAATGAAAGCGGTAATGGACACGCTTAAATAGCATCTCAGACAGATTCATTTCTGAAACTACCATAAGTTTTCTCAGTTTGGACTCCTCTGGGTATTACGTACGCTCTGTATAATTGAACTGAAGAAGAACAAAAGTAGATTTACACTACAGGCAACTGCCAGCTTTTAAGCTCTGCCTGCTAGCCTTGTACAAGCACCTTACTTTAAAAGCTTTCAGACATGAATGACAAACTGAACGCAGCCCAATGCTTCCAGTTTTCTAGAAGCAGCAAGGCCAGGTCTTTCTGAGAAGTCAGAGGAGCCTTTGCTAAATCCATACAACATGTCTTTTCTTCTCACATAGCCTCCTGGTACTCCCTGTACTGTTACACTGGTGGGTCTAATGTATAGAGAAGATGACTGGCCAGCCCTTCAAGTCATAGGTAACCATTAGGCAACTGAGAGTTTTAGGGAAATGGAGAAAGTTTAACCAATGCTATGCTGTATAGACCACTACACTAATCATCTCATCCCCAATCCTGTGCGTTACAGCAAACCAAGCCAATTTGGGTATATGAAAAAGGTCCTGGATACGTGAAAAAGATCTTCAGTGAGTCCCAGAAAATCAGAAATCCCTTGCCAATACACTAAGAGAGGAAAAATCCTTCCTAACTTCACATTAGTAATTTGTTAAACAGGATGAAGGGGAAGAAAAACTCCCTGCTACAGATTTATTTAATTGCAGACATTATGAAATACAATTGGTATCCCAGCAATTTGCAACATTTTTCTTTCTGTGAAAGGAGTTTTGTCAGTACCCTCTAAAACAGAAAAATAGATGTGTTGTTGGTTATATGGAAAAAACCCCCACTGCTACTCATTCTTAATCCAAATATTGGTCTCCAGCGTCTACAGAGCCCATCTTTTCTTGTTCCCACCTTGGTTTAAACAGACCCATCCTCAGGTCTTTCTGAAATCTTTTAAAGTATTGGTGTACTTCAAGAAAATCTCTCCTAGCGCTTTTTTCCCCCCTCTGATCAGTGTAAAGAAGAGCTCGTCAGACTTTCCACTGTGGTTCCATGTAGGGTTACAGAGTCAGCCCGTGTCCCTTGCCACAGTGTTTCTTTGTTGGCTGGTAGCAATGTTTCACCATGCAGCATTGTGGCTGTTGTGAATCCTAACACCAGGCTCCCGACTCGGAGATGGGGATCCATTCTGGCTACAGGCCTAATAATGCCAATGACATTGAGATCTGTCGTATCTCTATTCCTTTGACAAGGGGGTAGTTTACTTGCAGTCTCTCCTGTGCCAAGATAGGACATTCCCAATTTTCATCAAGCGATAGTTTAAAGGTGGTTTCCAAGGATGTGTAGAAGATGTCCTTCTACTGGATAATCTTCTCCTTGGCCACTTCACTATGGAAGCAATTGTGACTGCCATTTTATTAGCACCACAAATTTCTGTTCCTTTTCTGAACAAGCTCATCGATGTGTGCATAGGCAGACAAGACCTGCAACTTGTAAGCAGGAAAGAAGAGGGGGAAATGATGGTCCGGGGCTAGGCACCGTTTCAGTTCCTTTGAGTCCCAAGACATCGTGTATGACCAAATCCGCTACATTTGTTTGTGATGCTGTCTCTCACATGCAGGATCACAGCATTTCTCTATATCTGCTACAGACACTGTGATGTTAAATACATTAGTGACTACATGCCACAGGCAGATTTTTACAGTAAGGGGAGGCACGGAAGTAACTTAGATTCTTTAGCACTGGGATTATACAGTGTTTAAAAATGGCTTTCTATTGTTTTGGCAGCTGAAACGTCTGCAAGTGAAAAGACTAGACGCACTTCTCTTTAGTGCTTCCAATTATTTGGCTTAGGCTGGCTGGGTGTGCTTTTCTGTATCTGCCAGAGCACCGGCTGACTGGCCTTCAAAACGGACATTGTCAGGAAAAAATTCGAATTCCTCTGGCTTTTCAGTGTTTTCCTCATTGTTTGTTTCTCCTTATTTCAGTCTAGAGAAGAGATACACACTCGTTTCCTGATTTACAGGGATTTTCATCATTCTGATGCATTTCAATCTCAGATTTTGCTGAAGACTGCTTAGGATGAAATGAAAAGAAGAAATCTGCTGTTTTTTTCTTTCTCTGTGGGATCTTCACATAGCAGCTGAGGATGTATATGAAAGCACCTTGTTGCTTGCACATATATTTTATTGATTATAATGAAAAGGCAAATAATCAGAAGTCACAGCAAGGAAGGAGACCGCACAGACTCATGTTCTCATGGTCAAGTACCACTTCTCCATGCCCAGAAGACTCACTGGTATTGAGATGACTGCATGAAATGGGCCCACAGTTTAAAGAAATTTGACACTTTTTATGTCCATGACAGGCTTCTTTCTGATGGTAAGGCTGATCTTTTCAAAGCTTCTCAAGATTTGAACGATGTCTTTCTATTAAAATTGCTAATATTTTGACAGGGACACCTTTAGGCAGTTCTAAATATCTCTCATTGAAAGATTTTGAAAGCAGAGGGGTTCTTTTATACATCTTGGAGGTGAGCAGAAAGAACCCTACCCGGTATTAACATAGAAAATTTATTTACAATATATTATCATACAATATATAATATTGTAAAATTGTTTAAAATAATAAAAATATTGGAACTTACATTGGTAGATGTGTAGAAAAGTCTCTCCTAGCTTACTTGTGAGGAGAGGTTCTGGCAAGTCCCTGAAAAATTGCTTTACCATGTCTGCCACATCATATGCCGACTGGTCTTCATAGCTGACATTTTCTGGGGAGCTCTCATTCATCTGCCGTAGGGCCTGGATCCGGGATTTCACTCCAGATTTTCGAAACAGACCCACCTTAAAAGGCACCATGTGGAATTGAGTTTAACAAAAAAAAGTTACTTAAAGAATAGATATATATAAAATCTGTTACAGGGGACTTTGATCATAACCAAAGCTTGGATTGCTTATTTTACTCTAGGCAAGAACAAGATAAACATGTGCAAATCATAGAATGGTTTGGGTTGGAAGGGACCTTAAAGATCATCTAGTTCCAACCCCCCTGCCATGGGCAGGGACATCCTCCACTAGACCAGGTTGCTTAAGGCCCCATCCAAATGTGATGGTCATGACTTGCCCACAGTCTCGCCGGGAAGTGCACGCTCTCACGATGGCACTGAAAGAGTTAATAAGGCTGCTGCTCTGCATCCCATTCTAGAGGGGTAGTTCAGAGTGCATGTGGTTTCCCTGCTGCCTGAAGAGTTTAAGCAAGACAGTCAGCTGATATAAATCAGCGTGGCTTGCTTGGCTTGGGTGACTGTCTGTTGATTTACTCCAGCTGAGAATCTGGTTCCTCATGTTTATTTGGGTATATATTTTGAAGACTAACAAGAAAATATTATGCTCAGCTAAGTAATAAATGTTGTGGCAAAAGATTAGTACATCCTGGTAGAGTTTTAAAAATCAAGACCAAATCTAATTTTTCCCCTTCCTGCTCTCTGCTTCCAACAGTTCCCCCAGATCCCACTGTAAACCCCAGTTTGAAAGCGGGGGCCACGGAGGGAGATTACTTGTGCAGTGTCATTTTTTTATCCTGTTTGCTTTCTGTTCTAAAGGAAGCAGTAACTCTTCAAATGATGCCTTCACGGCAGTGCTGCCCTTTTACATCCTTCGTGCCAGTGGAATTCCCCTGGGGCGAATTCCTGAACCTCAACCACATTATTTATTCCCAAGTGAGTTTACAGTGTTTCATTTGGGAAGTGTTAGCACTGTTTTCCTTCAGTTTTGTAGGGGAAAAGGTGAAATATTGAGAAAGACCTACGAAAAAGGCACATTTCAGGTTTGGAATTACAGATTTCTGTTCCTCCATGCCTGCTGTCTTGCTGGTGGTCAGTTCAGCTTTCTGCGTGGTGTAGTCCACCAACAAAAATGTGTAAAAAGGCAAGGAAAAAATGAATTTTGGCCTTCTTCCCCTTACTTCTGCCAGCACAGAGTTCACGTAGGTCCCTCTTCTCCCTCAAACACCTCCCATGCTCAACTGTACGGTATTTAGGACTTTGTTAACTCACACATGGATGACACTAATTACATAAATCACACACTCCACAGCTCTGTGAGGGGATGTATTTATTTATATGGAGATGAACTGCTACTCCAGAGTGGCTGTGAGCGGCTCTTCTGCTATGTCTTCTTATTGAAGAATTTAGCCTTGTTCTTGAGCTAAATTTATGTGTAGGAAGTAGAGAACTGGAGTGTGCCCTGTGTACATCCTGGTGCACTGAATTGCTGTTCACAGGTGAAGCTCTGCTCTTCGTTCTGACAAGAGAATACAAGAAAGAGCATCTTGCTCTTCTCGTTTGGTTTTCCCTTTCTCTTCTTTTTAAATCCCTTTTCCTCTTAGAGAGGAAATTCTATCCAAAAATTACTATTTTGGCATGTGGTAAATAAATGTGAGAGCAGAGGCTCAGTTCTCTGCTGCTGATGGAAAGTGTCCTTGCTGGTATAAAGAACGTTTAAAAACTTCCAGCTAAGTCTGACTGGAGAGGTCAGACATCAAATCTTACCTGTGCAGGCTCCTGCTGCACGTCATTCTGCTACTCTCAATCTCTGGTTTTGTTTAATGATATTTATCCAAACTCCTATTTCCCTTTTTCTTGGAAAATTCATAATTAATTGAAAGAGGACAGTTCTTCACTTGACAGAAAAAGATGTTTTAGGCTCTGTTCTGCAATATTACTGATGTATTCTGTAAATAAAATGGGACTATAAATCTAGTGATTTATCAGAGGTTAGTCTGGCCCAATCTCTTTATTATCCTTGTGCTGCAGGTCATCTGCCCTGCAAGTAGCCATATGATGCATGACAGAAATAAAGATGCAGTTGACAAAGGCAAAGCAGTTTCTATTTTACAAGTTGAAACTGAATAATATATCCAACAAATAATGGTGAGGCTCCTCCTACCATCTGAGACATTTCAGTGCCAGACCTTACAATGATTTAGAGCAACCTCAACTTTACCAAGCACATGCAGGTAGAAGCTCTGATGCCTGTTCAGGACTCTAGACTGCCTTCTGCAGTGCATGGAAGAGATACATAAGCAAGAGGCTGGGGGAGACTGGAAGCTGCTCAGACCTCTGGCCAGGCATTAAGAGACTTTGAATTAAATGGGAACAAAATGGGAGTGACTGTAACGCAGAGGAGCTGAATTGCTTGGAGAGTTTTGGCCTAGAAAGGTTTTTGGTGGAAAGATACTTTAAATGGTCATGAGCTGTACTTCTCCTCCTTCATTTTCTATTCAGTATTTTCCCAATTCCACTCTGAGTGGAAACTCAAGCTGAGTTGAAATGGCCCTTCATGTGGCTCTGATTCTTACCAGCAAGTAAACCCTCTGTCTCGGAGCAGATGTTTGTCTGAGACTGCCCATGGACTCTCCTTTTGACCTCCTCAAATCTCTCAAGAGCTTTTTCTTTCTCTTTGGTTTTACCCTCTCTTTTACTTTCTCCCCCATTTATCCCTTCTCTCTTTTCTCTTTCTTCCTATTGCCCTGCTTCTTAGTTGACAAGCCCATCTCTATCCCCACATCTCCTGTTCTTCATACTTGGGCAAGTGTCTACTCCTCCAGTCCTGTCACTGATTCCAGGCTTGCTGCATCACTTTTCTTCCTATACTTGGTTTCCCTGCTCAGATTACCACAGCGATAACCAGGCATGTTAGTTACTGAATATATTGCTTCTAGTTGTCTCTATGCTTCTTCTATTAATACATTTCCAACAGGCTATTCCTTCCATCCCTCAACTCCTGTGCTACATATGGTAGGCAGAACTCATCTCACCTCTCTTTTGACACCCAAGAGTTAGATGTCAAGGTTTGACCACTACAGAATCTCTTTACAGTCAACAGAGAAAAAGGATAGGAAGGACCTGTGTATCCCCACTGTGTTCCCCCAAAGGGAAACAGCTGAGAGTCACAGCTCGGCATTTAATTTTCAGACTTCCATTATGGGGAAGACGACTGTCACCCAACAAAACAACCTGAACAGCAACCAGAATGGTGATCAGAAAATGGAAGGATTCAGAACTGACCACTTCCACCCTTTTCATGAGCTCAGAGCTAGGAAAGCGGCAAAGTCTGTGGAGTAAAATGCTGGTTGCTCCTTTTGAACTTACAACTGCCTAAAAGCAGTTATGGAAGAGGTCATACGACATGAAGTCAATAATAGTAGAGAGCTGAACTCAGTCAGCCAGGGGGTTTCTCTCAGTCCTATGTTCATATCCTCATCCTTAGGGGAAGAACAGTAAAAACATGATTGGTATGTCCCTGCTTTGTAGCTAAAGGCAATAAAAAAATCTGAAATACTTTGAGCATGAGGGTCTCCCAGCTGGCTTGTTGCAGCTAAGAACACTATAAAAGGAAATGTACCATAATGGCTTTGGCATTGAACCCCTGCTGACCTAACTCTATCTGGGTATATCTGACTTTGTCAACAGAATACTTGGAATATTTTGCTGAGTTTGCTCTCTATTCTTGCACTTTTCTTTCTTTGCTAAGTAAATAAAACCTTTGGTACTATATCTTGTGAAATGGTGAATGCAGTTAACCCTCACTGGCAACAGTCAAACATAAGTAGGGCAGATACAGGTAGAAGCTGGGAATCCTGAGCTTAGTTTTAATAGACATGAAGATCTCATGTCATTCTTTGAGGTAGGATATTGTATGCAAATCAGCGGGACTGTTATAGCTACAAGAATTCAACAGAGTAGCTGGATACAACACTGAAAATGGCAAACCATTAGTATTGGCACCAAGTCTCATATCACCAAAGGAGATCTGGGCCCAACATGAGATATAACAATGTTCAAATAATTCTGGTACTAAGTACAAAAAGCTTCACCATTGCTTGCTTAGGGTGACTTTTCAGAAAAAATCTACTGAGTCTCTGAGTATAGTTTATACCTGATCTAGACAGTTGCTCCGTAAGTACCGTAGCGCTTGCTGTATGCTCTGGGGAAGAGGCTGTCCTGTTCTCTGGACGTGAACTATCAGAGGCACACCAAAGACGTTCTTGTCCTTGTAGTCAGGGACTTTCATCCTCTTCATGAACTTTGGCACAGACCTGAAAATGAACATGAACAGGCTGCATGAAAATATCAGAGTGTTTACACAGTCTCTCTGAGTAACACTGCTGTCAGAAATTGGTAACTGGGGATACCTCCTTTTCTATAAAGATGGTGAAATAATGTTTAATGCACAATACATGGACACTTTACAATATGTATAATTGATGGATTTCTTGACAACTTTTATAAGTAGATGGCCTCTGGCTCTAAGATATAGCATAACAATCTGTTCTACCAAAAACCTTTTACTACACAGTTGTCATCCAGCTGAAGCCAACATGGTTTAAAGCATCTGTTAGGGACTCAAAGGAATGGCACAGCAAAGCATAGTGGAGAGGGTATCTGAGAGAAAAAGAGGTTCAGTTCTCTAACATGCTGAATGATTTTTATAGAACCAGTTACATGATTTAGTATTTCTATTGACTAAAAATTTACAGTAATAATGATGGTGGGAAATCCCTATGTGCCAGATTCATCCCTGGTGTTATATGATTTATTCCAGTTGAGTAACTTAAGTAAAGCTGGTGAGCTTGCTTTCTTCCAAAAATGATGGTGAAAACGAGAACAAACTGGATTCCCTTTGTGGGATTCATGACTGCAGTGGAATTAAAAAAGAAAAAAAAAAAGGATGAATATGACATGAATGTGACAAAGATTTTTCTCATCTGTGTGGGAAGGAAATAAAATTTGGATTAAATGACCTACTGAAGGAGTACAGCATATAACTTTACAGCTATTTAGAGTCCCACTCTTATAGAAACATAGAATCATAGAATGGTTTGGGTTGGAAGGGACCTTAAAGATCATCTAGTTCCAACCCCCTGCCATGGGCAGGGACACCCTCCACTAGACCAGGTTGTCCAAAGCCCCATCCAACCTGGCCTTGAACACTTCCAGGGAGGGGGCATCCACAACTTCTCTGGGGAATCTCTTCCAGTGCCTCTCTGCCCTCACAGTGAAGAACAGCAGGATCTAGAACGCGCTGTATTCTAGTCTGTTTATTTGGAGTTAGTTAATGTGAGATACCTTTCAGTACAGATGTTGTCAGCTAGCTGCAGGGAGCTGCACCAAAGAAGAATAGCTATCTAGGGGTTATTCTTACTGAATTTTACCTCTCTAATGGACATTTAGAAAGAGTTAGCAGTCCAGACTTCCTCTATACCCACTGTGGAGTGAGGTACTTCTGGAGGGTGACCCAAACCCTCAGCCTTGGATAGAATGAGTTGCCTTTGAAGTTTCCTGTCTTTTTCCACTGACCACAGACAGCCAACCCAACTTTCTCAGATTAGACTTACAACTATTCAGACAGTGAGGTAGATCTTACATGTAGTCCCTTGTATCAGTTTTTCCATTTCAAAGGCAGACTTATCTAGCTCACAGCTGAATTTAGTGGGATTTTGGTGAAGCACTTTGAACGTGGAAATCACAATGTAAATGTCATGTAATTTTTCTTTTGACTCAGTGTCTCTGTGTATTAGGGAAAATTTCTGTTATCCTTTTGATTATTTCTCAGATACTTATAATCTTTTATCTATGCCCATTTCCATTCCAATATACCTCAGTCTGCGTGGCCCATTTGGGTTCATACACTATTAAACAGGCAGATTTCTGTAGCCAGTTGCTACAGAAGGAGCCACACTGCCAGCGTTCATGTCCATCTGCCCTTCACTCCACACTCTGAGTGGCCAGGTAGCTGTTACAGCTGCTACAGCTGCAAGCTCCCTCTAACTGGGCTGAAGCTTGCATCTTTTGATCTGCAGAGAAAAGTCCCGTAACTGTTCTAATCTTCTTTTAAAGCACAAACAAACCAATACCTAATACATGAAGTATCATCAGCAGCTGTTTCGTTTCGAATCACAAAACGAATTCTGGGGAAGACTTACTGTAAACATTTCCTACTTTTAATCACTCTCTCCTACTCCTGTTTATTTTTCTCGAACTGGAGTGTTGTTGAGAGATGCCGGGGTTTTCTCTCTGTTAGAGAACAGGAATGAAGTCAGATCTCCAGGATCTATTTCTGACTTTGCCACTGAGTCACTAGGCAGCAGTGGATTAAAGGGGACAGTTTCAAATTCTACAGTTGAAGTAAATTGCTGCTTCTAATTGCATTTCCTAAATTTACTACCAGAATAACAGAATTAGGAGAAACTATTTTTTTCTAAAAATATCTCTTTTCCAGTTATCAGTGGTACTCACCAGGTCCAGCCATGTTTGTTTGACATGGAGTACTTTTCCATGATGGCAGTAAGACGAAGCAGCGAGAATTTTTGCAGTAAATTCAGCTGGGCTGCTGACTGATTGCTGATGTGAAGTGATGCAATGGAGTGGCTCAGGCGATAAGAGATTTGGAAACTATGCCACCGCAATCGCCTTTAGCAAAAGAAACAATAGAAAAATCAGACAACTGTTTTAACTGGGCAGAAGATGGTATGCTGTGAGATAGGGCTGGGCAATATACAAAACATACATAAAACATACACACATTATGGCTCACGGTGTGTCAACTGAAAGAAAATGTAGTTTCAAGGCAAATGAAACAATTTCATTGGAATCTAATTTTGGAAATGCCCAAGCTTTGGTTTTTTAATATTAAATTCACAAGCGGGTGTGGGTCCTGTCCACATACTCAGGGAAGCAGTGCTGCCCGCTGTGCCCTTTAGCCCACATATTTCCAACAGGATGTGGGAGATCCAGATTCAAATGTTCTCTCCCTGACTCAGAACCCAGATTTGATGCCTGGTCCCTCACCTCCCAGGGGACTGGCCTGACCACCAAGGTATTTGGGGATGAGGCTCTCCACATATGTCTATTATTAAATACTGAAGTATTTTTTGGAGAAGGGATTGAACCCTGTGCCTCCTTGGCAAGAGCTGTAACCACCAAGCTATTGAGCCACTCACATCTTCTCTTTACTCCAATGCACTTTCTCTATATATTGGATACATCAGAAAAAAACCCCTCATTTCAGTTTCTTGTTTTGCTAAACATGAGTTCTGGCTCAGCTCCTAAAAACTTGCGCAATGCTCATTTACTCAGTAGTTTCCTCGAGTTCACTTGCTTGTGATGGTGGTGAGCAAGCATGGGCAGTAGTAAACCACGGCATGGCAGAATCCTCTGTGAGGACTTGACAAGACTGACGGCAGATCAGAAAATACCAGGTATTTTCTCACTGCTTTTGCACATACAAAGCCACCCTACACACAGCAGTATGGATCCACAAAAGCCTTTACCCAGGACCACGCTCCTTTGGCTCAGCAGGCACTCATTGCTCTGACTTAAAACAAGTCTGCAAACTATTAACAAAATCCCGCTTTTCACTTTTCATAAGAAGTGAATTGCATACCATCACTTCATCCCGTCATGCAAGAGACGGAGGCAGGGTAGGGAAAATCTCTTTGAGTGCAAATGGACAAATTTTTAAACCAGACCAATGCATGAAAAAAGTGCACAACACTACTGACGCATAAATCCCGAGATGCATAACTTAGAAGACAAATTGAAAATACCTCCCACACCATATACAGGATCCTACTATGTACAGGGTCCTACTATGTAAATGGCTCACGAGAGAAAAAGCTGCCTTAGTTTGCTCTGTTAAACCAATTCTCCATTGATCCCACATAAGAATTTCCATAGCAGGATGTCCCTTCTCCCAGAGTCCCACCCTTCCCTGGGAAGTTGCCATTCCCATACAGGATGAGTACAACTGTAATGGTACCCTGCACCTTCTGACTCCCAGGCTGAGCGACTCTGCTTCATTATGTCGTATTTCACAGCCTATGGATTTGTGTACAAAATTTTGCTGCCTACCTGCTTGGCCTTGTGAGTGATGCTCCCACCCCAGAGTCTCTCCTGTCCCTAACACCAGTGGCTTCGGATTCATTCAGGGATGTTCCATCTCTGTCCATGTCACTTGGCGTGGTCCGGCCATCAGAAACAGAATTTCCTTCAAAATCAAGAGTGATCTGGGTGGATGACTGGAAAGGCAATGCCGGAGATTCCCTGACTGACACATCATCAACTGGCAGACCTGGCAACACATTCTTTGACCATCCATCTACCACCTCCTGGAGTCCATTGACATGATGCAAAATGTCATCTAAATGAGGAAAAAGGACATCTTTCTCTAAGTCCAGGAGGTCCCCAGTACTAGCATACAAGTGGGAACCTGGCACATTGTCATAAATACTAATTCTGCTCTCTTTAGGACAGCAAGCCATCAATCCGGACTCTTTTGGAGTAGAGCAGTTCTGCTTTCCCAAAGAGATGCTGCCTGTCCTCCAGTTTACACTGTTACTGTTGTCCGTAGGTGAGAGGCTTTCAATAGAAAGTGCCTTTGGGAAGGTCCCTGGTTTGTGATCCTTGGGAATATGCACAACCAAGTTCTCTTGGGAATGAAATTCATTTTTGCGGTTTTGGTCCACCATTTGCCGTAAGGCTGTTCCTGCCAGAACATCTAGGTCCTCCAGGTACATCCCGCCTCTCTTGTTTGCTTCGTGACATTTGCGTTCCTTCAGACACGGTGTGCTCACCCCACTGCTGCTGTTTTCGGACTGACTGCTGTCACTGCTGGATTTGGCAGAAAAGGAAAGTCCTCTTTTGACTGAATCTTGTCCTAAGTTTTGGAGATCGCCATTGACTATCTGTACACAGTGCATGTCTTTCAAGGATTTGGGCTCATACTGGAGAACAGGTCCACTTATCTCTAAAGGACCTGTTCTTCCTGAGCCTTTTAGTTTTCCATGCACACCTTTTGCTTTTAGTGTCTCCATGCGTTTTAGAAAGGTTTTTGCTTTGGTTCGTGTTGGTTTCTCATTCTTCAGGTTGTCCTTGGGGGACAGGGCGGTGTTTATCGCAGTGGAGTCTTGCAACAGTGTGCTTTCTACATCATGCTGGCCGGAGCAGTCAAAGGTCTCCCTGGCAGCGTTGCTGGTGCCGGATTGACTCCTGTTGTCACTGCCTCCACTGCTCTCGCTGTGAATAGATGAGACCTCAGGTTCACTCAGATCTGTAAGGACGCTCTCGCTGCTTGTTGTATTTTTCATTTTAATGTCCCCAGAAGATCCATGTCTGTCTGATCGGTGAAACAAAGCATCAATGTCGTCCACCCGAGACCATCGTCTGCTGGTTCTTTGGAAAGTCCATTTATTACTGATAGCACAGAGGTCTTCTTCATCTGAATCTTCACTCTGGAAAACAGCAAGTGGCACATGTTAAAAGCAGGTGCTTTTATTCATTATTTGAATTAGTGTGTGCTGCTCCATGTGAGCAACAGGTAGGTCTTCGTGAACCTGTTTTATGAAAGATTGGTCATCAGTCCTTTCATAACAGCCTCTTTCATTTAATTGTAAAGACTGAAGTGAGCAACTTAACAAGTAAGGAATAAAAGCCTGCTCTGTGTTAGGGAGCTGATGAGTCCCATCAATGCCTCTTGGCTTCTGTGGGGCGGATTGCCTGTGCAATGAACTGTGTAGGGTTGATGCCCATAGTGACTTTAGAAAAGAAAAGGATTTTGAAAGGTCCAAGTAGAGGGATCCTGACTTGCAAGGATGGTGTTAAGATACACATGGTAAAGACTGGGAAGTCACTGGGTAGTACAGCAATGTGAGCCATTTAAGAAGCCAGAACAGCAAATACTCGATGCCACACTTAGTTTTGCAGTGAGAACTAAGTAAACATCTATAAACTTCACAGGCCAGGTGCATCTAACAAGATTTATGTTTCAGGAACATAACTACAGATAAATAGCCACGATGCTTAAAATAACAATAAAAAAAATAAATATGTGGAGGTATTGCTTAGGGTGAGCCTGAACACAGGCAAAGGAAGGCAGCCAAGGCAGCCGTGGAGGTGTGGGGAGGAGGAGCAGCCAGGCTCAGTCCTGGATGGGGCAGCACCTACAGCTGAGGTGAGCTTTCCTACAGTGGCACCCACTATATTCATTGCTTTTGCCATCAGAGGCACCCCAAACTTGAGGACCTCCAGCCTGCCCCGCTGTCTCTGGCTCCCCCCGACCCCTTCTGAGGCAGCAGCAGCCCCACAGCCCTTCCTGGCCTCCTCCCTCAGCCTGGGGCAGGCGGAGTTGTGCTTATGTTTAGGCAGCTCCAGGAGCTACTCTGCAATGCAGACAACATACGCCTTGAAAAAAAATTTGGATGAAAAAGCTCTCCCTGTGACATTTTTCTCATCTGTTTGCTCAAACAAAAAAGATAGATCTTCAGCATGAAGCACGCAGTATCGAACTCACTGTTCTCTAAGGATGCGAAGCCCACAGTTGCTAATGAGTATCCTTCCCCTGACTTTGAACCGGGCTTATATCGCGTTATTCTTGTACATTTGTTTTAAAGCAGAACAAACTAACTTCACCTACATGACATCCAAACAGCTCTTCACATTCTTGGAAGCAGTATGAAGGCAGTAAAATATGACAGGCTGTCAGACTAAAATGAGGTGCTAAACCAGAAAGGCTATTTTGGGACTGGAAAAATTCTCATTTTAAAAGTCTATCATTAGAAGTATTTTTCTACGAAGTTTTGATGGCAAAGTTATCTCCCATCTCTGACTAGATGTCTGCTGGCTGTCTAATTGAAAAATGTAAACCAAATTTTACAAGAACGTCCAAAACCTTAAATAATGCGAAATCTCAAAAGACGGAGATTGGGATCAGTAGCACGCCAGGTCTCTCTAATACCATAAGCTTTTGCCAGTTTATCACTTCAAGTTGGCCAGATGTTTTAGATCATATCCAAACCATAAAGTAAAATATAACTATGAAATTTTGGGTTTAGTCATTCCTCTGTTATCTGTTAACACGGAGGTGTGCAGTGCCCCTGCAGCTGATGTTAGTTCACAGGAATGAATGGAGATCTTAGTTCTGCAGCTAGCTAGAGAGAAAAATTAAGCAGCTAGTGAAGCGTCAGGAAAGGGCTAGAAAAGGCTAATTCTGTTTTGGCCATTTTGTCTGCAGGAAAGAAATGGTGTATCAGACAACTCTACTTTCCTTTTAGCTCCACAGTTTGCTGTATGCATATATGGAGTGAAGGACTGCACAGACTCAGGCACTTAAAAATCCATCTATTGTGGTCTTAGCAGTGCCACAAAGTGGATATTTTAAAAACCGCAAGGGTATGTACTTTTAAATATTTAGTAGAGATAATTATATCTACAAAGCATACCACTGCTGAAGCGTTGATGGCACTAGCCAATAGGATAAAAATATTTTTTTTTTTTCATTTGTTGTACATCCCAAAATGCCAAAGGGACCTTAAAGAAGATTCTTGGCTGACACAAATCCCTGTAGCTGCACTGACATTACTATATGAACTGACAGGATTTAGCCTGTATTTTCTACAAGCTGGAATCGATTAAACTAACCAAAGTGGTAGGGACATTGTGACAAACACCAAGAGGCGAGCAGAGAGTAGGAGACAGAAATAAACATAAATTCAGTGGTGAATATACTTTAAATAATTTTCAGAGGAAAATAAGTTTTGAGATTTTTTTGGGGGAAAGTAGAGATGAGCAGAAATGGATATTGGTAGTAAACAAGTTTTGCCTCTAACCACAACAAAGATAGGATTACATTCTGCACAAGAACCACTCAGAAAATACAAAGGAGTTTCGGTGTCAAAATTTGCAGCTCAATAAAAAAAAAGGTTTAGATTTTTTTTTTCTTATTTTAATTGGTATTGAAACATGCTTGTGTTTCATCAGAAGCAGAATCAGACAAATGAAGTATCTGGATACTGAAATGCTGCCATGGTGACCTACTCCAAATTCGGCTGCACTGAGTCCTGTGACATAATGTGCTTTTCTTTTCATGGAATCAGTAGAAATTCTGGAAGCCACGAACACCCTGAATGACCCACTGTTCTTAGATATCAGAGTGCTCTGACAAACGAGACTGTCATAAAAAAATGCAGAGAGCACTTTGCCAACCGACATGTCACCAGCTATGGGGACAGTGGATCAAGAGTAGGTCTGAAAGCAACGATTTATCTTACACAGGCGGAGCAGACATCTTGGAGCAGTGACTGTACACTTCTACTGACCTAGGGTGAAATCAAGTGCACGGCTTTGGACTATATTCAAAAGTCCATTTAATACTGTTATGTTTGGGAAGATGAGAAGGGGCAAGTTTCTTGAGGAGTGACTGATAACATTTGCCAGAGAGAAAGAGGTTTTGATTCACAGATTTGTCACAGTTGATTTAAAATAGTACAGCTTTTTGATGGAGGGTATACTTGCCTGAGATACAGAAGGATGCTAACAAAAGGCAAAAAGTGGGTTTATTTGCAGTGGAATTCTGCCACATTTTTCCAGCTGGGGGCAGGAATTCTCATAAATCGACAGCTGCAGAAGGCAGTTAATCCAAAGGCTAATCTCTGTCTGTCCAAATTGCTTACGGACATATTTGCAACACATACACGAGGATTTCTGCATGCATCTCGATGAAGCCAAGGGGAAGAGAGCAGCCCACAGCTTGAATGGTTCGGGTGGGAGAGCAGGCGGTGGGGAACGCTCACACCGTGCTGACTTTCACAGTAACCTTGCCTGGCAGCTCGCTTGGCCGTATTCTGATGAATCACTCAAGCAGCTGCACTAGTCCTGTGCAAACCTGTTATGCTGAATCTCCAAAGCAAGCTGATTTTGCATTTCATTGTTCAGATCACCATAGAGACTATTGGGAAAGGCAGTATCTACAGCAAAAAAGTTGACTTTTCAGTGTTCAATTCCAGACCCAATTTCCAGCTTTCACATTAGCATTTACATTTCCTCCTGTCATCAGTTTCTCCTCTCACTTCTCTCCCCCACATTTTCTTCTACTTTCACTTGCTTTCTATCTGTCATCCCAAATCTGCTTTATCTCCCCTTTCTCTACATTTTTCTGTGCTCTGCTTCTCCCTGGCCTCGTGCAGGTATGGACCCAACTAGCTTCTAGCCCCCTGAAAGAGTACCAAGTCAGGCAGTCTCACTTCCATAGCAAATTAATGCTCATCGCAGGGAGAGCAGCCGAGGGCTTCAATCCATTCAGAACAGGGAGGAGTGGCAGTAAAAACTAATAAAAATAAAGATAACAAAATCTTCCTTTTTTTTTTAACCCAACATAATCAGACACTTAAAGAAGCAAGCAAGAAAGCATACAAATCTCACACCAAACCCAAAATACTTGTTGAAGAGAAAAAGGACAGGAACTAAAAATTTCAAGAGGACAATCAGCGTTCACCTATATGTTGCTTTTTGTAATTCTGGCTCTTGTGCAGCTCCAGTATCTCTACATGAACACAAGTACGCGAGCACATGGATGCAAACTAGACACCACTCCAAGCACGTCAACGACACAATCGAGTTTGGTTTTGCTGAAGGACCTGGATTTTACTGTTCCTTCTCTCAGGTGTTGTGTGGGTTTTTGATGTGGAAAGTGTTGGCACTTATGAAAGACAAGAAAAATCCATCAGGTCTGAAGCAGTGAAGAGAAGAGGTCCCTGTGGCTCCGGTGAATGGGCAAAACGCATGCTAAGGAGGCTACGTACACAACGGAACAAATGGGCACATGCAGATTGCAGAAGATCTGGACATTAAAACCCTTCTTTGTTCAAGTCCCCTCAAACAGTGAATAGAGTATGAATAGACTGAATCTGCAAAGACACCAAAAATGCTTCTCTCAGAGGCAGTTTTTAAAAAGCATTAGGCAAACATTCTAAGGGAGAAAAAACAGACACCAAAATTTCTCAGTGTCAACATCTACCATTGTACACTACTGAAGGGCTTGGGGGAATTTGTGACCAGCAAACCAAACGTTCAGCAGTTAACACCAGACATGTTACAAAACTCTCAAAATCAATAGGCAGTTTCTGCAGTGCTCGATGAAACCCTTTAAGCTCAAATAATTCCCATGTTACACAGGAGCTTGTAAGGATGACAGTTTATTTTCACATTCTTAACCGGGAATAAGTCAGTACGACAAATAAAGAAAAGCTATTGTTTTTGTCTGAGCAGCTTCCATTTTTTCTGAGCAGGATTTTCCATTGTGTACTCACATGGCATTGGCAAACAATCCAGTGTAATGAAACCGCACTGTCTTTTCACCCACTAACTTGAATTGCACATTCGTAAAGTTTTAAGTACTGCATGTGCCCTTTTAACACACGTAGTATTGTTCCTGCTGTGTTAGTCACAGGTTTTTTTCTATTTTATTTATAATGTCAAGATTCAGCAATTCACATTATCATGCATCCAGACAATGGTGACACACATGTTCAAAGTCAAATACACTTAACTTACTTTTAAGGGCATTACTGACTTAAAGAGTAACTCGGGGAGGTCTTATCGCAAAAGCCAGGGCAAAGCCAGCACATTTCATGAAGTTTCCTTACCTTTTTTCTTTGGAAGTTCACATCGAGTTTCATTGAGGCGCACTTGTTCAGTGTGTTCAGTCGTCTACAGGGCAAAGCAAATTCAAAAGATTAGCAGCCTCTGATTAAAGGGCATGACTTTTTGTAAGTTCAAAAGCTTCTCTCTTATCTGCTTGTAGGGTGCCAACTGCATACAACAGGCTTCAGAAATGATACCGGTGATATTATTCCAGGCTATAAGACCACTGTGTTAAAAGGGAATCTTAGTTTCACGTTACTTGATAGCTAGGTTTTATACATTGCTTTTTAATTCATAGACATTTAAGCAAAGGAAATGGGTATAAACAAACACCTCTGATGGCTGGGGAAATGACAAGAGAAGAAGGAGGTAAGTTGCCTTCTGCAGGACTGTAACATAATGGGTCTAAAATGGGGATTTCAAGGCATTGGTGAAAGACAAAAGAAAAAGGTGCAGTTCCTCACTTTAGGCAGTTAGCATATGCTTTAAAAAGCTAACATAAAGAACTTTTAGCAGTTAGTTAAATGTTTCTCCACAGCCAATAGTTCCTTTCCCATACCTGTAGATTTTATAGACAGGTTAATACACCCAACATGTAAATCTAACATCTTTACATAAATATTTGTAGTTATTTTTGACCATGTTCATAATGATGTTATCAGGAACTCTGTGAAGCTTCAGCTCCTTAAATCCCAGGCTATCCCATGACGATAGTGGGTTGAAATGACAATCTGATGAAGATGGAAATTGAATGTGTGTGTGTGTGCCCATATGCAGAGACAGTCAGAGGACAGGAAAACGTGCTCTTTCAATAGAGAACCTACCACGCAAATCATAATTGATTAGTTTTTATTTATACTTAAAGGTCCTGATTCATTAAACCATCCATCTTCTAAAAGCAGAGGCTCAGAGTTAAATATGTTCGACTTTGAACATTTTCCAGATTTAGGGCTGAATTTCAAAATAAAGAGAGGCAGAGTGAGAGAGCCATGTGTCCACAACTCTCTTCTGGAAGAGGCTGCAAATCTCCAGAACTGTTCACATTCAAAATGTATGTGATAAGTTACCAGGACACATGAAAATAAGTATCACATCAATAACATAATCTCTCACATAGCATAAGAACATTATGGCATTAACATACTGTCCCCCGCGACTTTACTAATATTAGAAATCCTTTCAAATTGCCACCACTAATAAAGAACCAGCCCACCAAATGCAGATCTTCCTTAAAAAAAATTCCTTCACAAAATACCACCTGCTCATTTGTAGATAAAATACTCCTCCCTAACTCAATAAACCTGTTATGCTATATCAGAAAAGTCCTGTTCTCATGATATTAATGTGAGTATAATGCATGCACAAGTACACCCCGCATGCATGATAGTAATATTCTTGTAATAAATTTCAAGCTTTGTGGCTCCGTAGCTATATCTTCAGCCTTCTGCCCACAAATCCTCCTCCTCAGGGATTATATCTATTATTGCAAAGCTCATCTTTTGCCCAAACATGGAATATTTCAACCCAAAGTTGCATTTTCTTGGGGCCGTGGGGCTGAATAATGTTCAGCAATTCTTTTGAGTGGAAAATGTTTATATTTGCATATGGATATTGATTCCAAATATACAGAGGCACAGACACATTTTCAAAGGATTCCAACCCAACTTTCTATCCGTGGAGACAGTTTCCTGTGAGATGTGAACCAGAGGCTCAGATTGGAGACCCTGCACAGGGGCCAGTGCTCCTTCCATTCACTCTGGTGCCCTTTGCCTTCTAAAAACTGAGGAGCAAGACAGATGTTTCAGGAGCAGGAAGACGAAATACTGACAGCCCTTGATGTACCCTTTACCTGTTTGTACCCAGGTATCTCTCGATGTGTCTAGCCGACAGCAGAAAGTGCCATGGTATTTCTATTCAAAAGGGCTTCCTCTTCAGCACAGAAAGGGGCAGAAAGCACATGGTGAAACCAACAAGATCATCCAAAGTCATCGCTTTCCCACTAACAGCATTTGAGAACGAGATTGTTTCAGCAGAGATTGAGGGGTCAGCTCTATAAAAGTGAATGTCATTACTTAAATTGGAGGCTTGCTGTATTGGGTTTGTGTGGCAAGGTTTTG